GGGATCCCTTCAGCTCGAGGAGCCCTCTCGAACGCCACCCTCCGCGCGTCGGTAGCCACCCGGGATCGACAGATCGGTCGGCGCCCGACCGCGAATTTAACCGCTCGTAACTCCCGGACCCCGGGGGCTATCGACGCGGGGGTGGTCTCATTCGAAAGGGAGCCTCGAGACGTACACTCGATTTGGCATTCGAGAGGGTTCCTCGAGCTGAAGGGATCCCCCGACTTTGGTGCGGATCCACCGCGCTGTTACGGAGACATGGCCGTTCAAATTTTCAATGGTATTCTATACACTTAACCTTTAAAGCGTTTCATCCAGATCGACAGTTTAGTAGCAAACAATGGCGCGCACTCTGCTGGACAAACTACGTAATTACACCATTTACAAGCATTTTATCTGCATTTTATGTTCTGTAAAAAAAAATTTCATTTTGGTGGCATATCGGCGGCATATTCGCCGATACCGATATATCGGTGACAGGCTCATATTGGCCGATAAAATCGGCAAAACAATATATCGGTCGGGCTCTAGTGTACATGTGTATACCTGCAAGTGTGGCAGCTGCTGCCAATCCTGCAGCGGTGTAAGGGTCTGCTCCAGGAGGGGCAGCATTAATGATGTAAGGGTTTGGCACAAATGCAGGTGCAAGGCCTACCGAAAAAACACACAGAGCATTAGATTAATAAACAGGTTAGATTAATGTCAGAGACTTTCTGGGTTACTGAACTTTTATTTTTGTCTTCCTTTGCCCTCTTAAAACAAAATTTCATTATGGTGAAAAAGGGATATAAGAGACTGAGAGGCTCTGGATGAAAATACAAGTCTGAAAGTAATAATGTTACCAAGGTGTTGCTGTTGGGCTGCAGCAAGGGCGTACTGTTGCTGCTGTGCTGCAGTCAACTGCTGAACTGTGAGATGACTGGATCTCTGGAACAACTTAAAAAATAAAAAACAAGGCGGCATTACATCTTTTTACTAAAAAAAAATCCTCTAAATATATGGCAAGCAAACATTTTACTTCAGATGTACACTACTGTATGAAAAAAAAAAAAACCTTACTGAACCCAAAAAGGCATTCAACTGATCTAAAGTGACACTAAAGAAATTTATAATGCAACAAAAGATTTCCATTTCCAAAACGTAGAATTCTGTTCTTTTAACCTTTCTATCAATCAATAAAATCCTGGGGAAAAAAATAAAATAAAATAAAATTTTTATAAAAAATATTAAGCAGAACAACTGTTTCCAACACTGATAATAAGAAATGTTTCCTGAGCACCAGTAATCCACTTTCTGATGAATTATGTGACACTGGAGACTAGGGCTGTGACGGTGGCACCGCGGTGGTAATGGACCAACTACCGCCGGTGGCGCGGTGTTGATATATATATCAACTTTATGTATGTAATTTATACAGTATATTATATGAACACGCAGCCTGCAAAACACTAAAATAAATATCAAAGAAATAATACAGTTAAACAAGAAAGCAGCCTAAATAAGAAGGTTAAATACACCCTGTCTACAGGACACGAGCGGAGCGGCGCGACACGACAAAATACTAGGCTATAGAACTCATTATAATGATGCTACAGTGGATGCGGCGCAACACGACAAAATACTAGGCTATAGAACTCATTATAATGATGCTACACTGGATGCGGCGCAACACGACACGACAAATCCCCGACAGTAAACTGCCTCGTCCTATTTATGAGGTACTGACAGAAAGTTCAAATGTCCTGTGTAGACACTCTGTTGGTCCTGTTCCGACGCGGCGGTGTCGTGTCCGGTGTACACGGTTCACTGTTCCGCCGCCAAGCAAGCGGGTGCATTAACTCCTCGTCTGCACATCTCGTTTGTATTTGGCCAGTTTGGACAAAGCCTCACCAAACCTGACCAGCCAGGCGTTTGCGATCACGGGAACTTGAAGACACTTGTACAAACGCGAATGGGTGACATGAAAGGAGATTGCTCCAGATTGGCGATGTATTATTTGGTTTCCAAACAATGTCCATCGCCCAACACAATTTATTTGCTGAATGCAGAATAAACTGTATTTTCCTGCGCTCAAACCTGACAATCTAAAGGAAACGCTGTGTATGGCGTTTGAGGTAATTTGTGAATTACCATAGACTTATAGTCTAAATAAAACAATTTGCAACTATTACTGTTATTACACTTGTATACAAAACTTCGTATTATGCTTGTTATAGAGTGTGTGACGTCGCGTGCACTACCGCCGGTGGCAGTAGACAACCGTGGTGGCAACCGACCACCGTGGTGGCGCGGTTGTCATGGCGACCGTCACAGCCCTACTGGAGACTGGAGAAACGGATGCTGAAAATTCACCTATGCCATCAGAGGAATTAATTACATTTTAAAATATATTTAAATAGTAATCTTAAATCTTAAATTGACAAATCAATAATAAATTGTGATAACATTTCACAATATTACTATTAGAATAAAGAATATAATTTTTTTTTATGCATTTCAATGCGGATGTGAGCAATTCTGGATTGATGCATAAAAACGAAAGAACCATCTTTTTTCTTATGGGTTTGATTGAAGAATTAGATGACTACAAATTAGCACAATTAGGACTCACCATATATATATATTTTTCTTATCATAGTCTGTTATGTCTTATACGAACAAACAGTTGAGGGAAAAAATCTTATGTGTAACATTAGATCCGTGCATTAGGTCTTAATATAATAAACCTGCTGCTGTTTGTCATTTTTGTTAATCAAACAACAAAAGGGGGAAAAATTCACTTCTCTTGACTGAATAAGCTTTGCAACTTTAATAATCAAGTTATTTGTAATTAATACACTAAAGACTATGCAGTGATCGTTTTTACATTTGAGTATTTAATTCCTGTATTAAATAGATTTAAAATGAAAAAATGTAAAGCACTGTTAATTTTATTTGTCTTTTTCTTGTACTGTATGTTTTACTGTTTCTTATTTGCATCACCATTCTTATTTTTTGATAACAGAAAACAAAAACAACACTATAATAAAAAAACAAAAATAAGTATTTTGTGATTATTAATATAGTAATTATTAAAAGAACTGGAGAACATTTTTTTAATTGAATTGTTACCCTCTGAATCATAATAGAATCTAATAGTAAGGCAATTGAAGGTTCACACCTCTAATTAAAGGGGTCATATGATGCTGCTAAAAAGAACATTATTTTGTGTATTTGGTGTAATGAAATGTGTTTGTGCGGTTTAAAGTTCAAAAAACACATTATTTTCCAGCACACAGCGTCTTCACGACATGGCTGCAGCGTCAACAATACTACAGTGAGAATTAAAGTTACGCCTTCTTTCTTTGCGTTAACATTTGGGCGGCGTTATGCAAATTTTCCCAGATCGTGACGTAGGTATGTTGGGGGCGTGTTAGAACGAGCCGTTTTAGGAGGGTGTGGTTAACTCTTAACTTTTATAAAGAATATCTCTTTGGTTTTGAGACTTTAGTCTTTGCAACTTTACAGATCTTCTTTATGCACCAAGAGCTTGTAACACTCCAAAGAGAAAGGAAAAATTGAAATCGCATCATATGACCCCTTTAATATTGTAGTGAACAGCAGGCAGAGAGAATGTTAAAATTTTCACTTCAGTGTGACAGTGTTTCTGTAAACAACATAAACGGATGCCTTTTGCCCTCAGATAAAACAACACTTCTTATGACGACAAACAAAAAAGTATCTGAAGCCATGAAAAAGAAAGAAAAGAAAAGAAGGCTCTGGATTTTGACTATTTTTGACCAAATAAATGGAGACTTGGTGAGCCTAAGACACCTTTGAAAAACATTTTAAAAAATAATAATAATGTACAAAAATGTTGAATAAATTGGCACAAGGTAGCTGGCAAGCAGGGGGCAGTTAGCTCCTGCTGGTAGATGCCATAAGTACTCTGTTATAGTGGCAAAAAGCGTGCTTCTTCATAGATGGCCAGGTTGCAACTTGGGCCTTGGTTTCACTCTCTTCCCTCATTCCAATTCAATCACTTCAATAAATAAAAAAAAGTCCCATCCACACATTATTACAGCTTGACATTCTGTTTCACTAAGACATGTCACTTTAAAGAAGTAAAATGCAATGCAAATGGCATTTCATGTTGTCAAGACATTGACACTTCATACTGCAAAAGCTAAAGCAAACAAAAAGTACAAGTAACTGTAAACAAAAAACAAAGTAACTGTAAATGTAATAATTAAGTGCAGAAGAGCAGTTGTACCTGCTGTTGGGAGTTGTAGTCAAACAGGCCAACTGGAGCACCAGATGAGTCCACCTGGATCTGGTTCCCAGCATAGTCAAATTGGAGTGACTCCATGCCCACCTGATGCTCCATGCCCCCCATGCCGCCCATGCTCTGGGCTTCCTGGCTCTGGAAGTCCTCAGTGGGAGGTTTGTTTGTGACAGGGTTGGGTGGCTGCAGAGCATGCGGGTGGTGCTGTGCCATCATTTCCAACCCGGCCTGACTGTGCCCCAACCGTTCTACTGCCTCTGTGGGGGATGCCTGGCGACTACCTGGGGTAGGGCTGTAGAAAATAAGATTTTAATCAAAGTGTGGATACTGACAATGACATTGTTGCAGTTTTACTAATTGCTATTCTATTAAAGGCCAAAAAAGTTATTACAATTTTAAAATGTATGATTCAGCAACATTAACTGAATCCACACAGGTCTAGTGTCAGCTTCGGACTGCCAACAAAAAAAGCCTATAAAGGTTCATGGTAGGGATGTCAACGATTAATCAATGATCGATTAATTGTCGATAAGAGATGCGATCGATTAAAGCTATCGATGGTCGATTAAGCTATTTAATTTTGGGCTGCGTGCGGCTCATGCGCAAAACACGTGCAAGTGGTTGTGAGTGACGGTGACGGTATATAAATGCATCATCATTCATAATGTACAAATTAAGCTTTTAATGTGATTTAAACTTTAAAAGTACATTAAAATAGAAACAACACAAAGTTCTTCAACATGGAAAGCAATAGAAATGTAGTAACTAAGTAATTTCCCCAGATAATTGTTTCATATCGTGTGCTTTGCAGGGCTGCGGGACACAGGACAGGACAGATAGGCTATTTGTTCCTACGACTTATTAATTTGTAGCCAATGTCCATGTTTCATTAATTTTGTTCCTTAAATAACCCATGATTTAACTAAAATGAGGGAACAAATTAATAAATCGAAC